AATATCATTTGGAGAGAAATGAAATGTTTAGTATGGAATTGGCCAATGCGTATATGATTGTTGACAAATGATTTATTGACTTAACTCTTTTGGGTTTGAATGAGCAGAATGTGCATAACAATTTATGTGTCGTTGCCATAATTATACATATGATGCAAAGCATCTTTAAATACTTTTCTTAGAAAAGTTTTCTATACATCTAGAATAAAAAGATCGGAGTATACGTGTAGATACAATTTGAAAAGTGTTAAAAGAAGTACCTATTTTATTATATAAATGCCTACTCTTCAATCTATGATTATATTTATATATTAGGCTTTTAGCGAATTTCCCTATAGGGAAGTAGCTATTACCGTAGGTCTCATGGTAAGCCTTAAGCCCGGGACCGATTTACTTTTTCATTTTGATGTCCCCAGAGGCCAAAAACACCATTCGTTCAAATTTTTATATATGTATATATATTTTAATTTAGGTGTTCACTTAATAGGGCTGCTGATATACAGGGTGGCGCAGATGGATCGGGTGGTTTTAAAATACTTGTCAAACTGTCAATTTTAAAGGTATTGGATTGAAATAAAGTGCAAAACGTGAACTTAAAATGGAAGTTTATTGACAAACAATTTGTTAAGTTAGTTTTTAAAAATTACATCCATCAAATGCCTTCCTTCTCGAGCGACGCATTCTTGGAGTCGGTCCTTGAGGTTCCGCATTGCTCGCTCAAGCACATCACCAGGAATTGATGTGATTTCGTTGTGAATTGCAGCCTTCAACTCCTGAAGCAAGGATCTACATGAACAAACCCCGGACCATTCAGGAGTTGAAGGTTGCAATTCACAACGAAATCACATCAATTCCTGGTGATGTGGCGGTGATCCAAGAATGCGTCGCTCGAGAAGGAAGGCATTTGATGGATGTAATTTTTTAAAACTAACTTAACTAATTTTATGTCAATAAACTTCCATTGTAACTACACGTTTTGCACTTTATTTCAATCCAATACCTTTAAAATTGACAGTTTGACAAGTATTTTAAAACCACCCGATCCATCTGCGCCACCCTGTATTAAATATTTAAGTAAATAAGTACAACTGAGCACCCTGAATATTACTTCTTTTTATAAAATATAATATTCAGGGTGCTCAGTTGTACTTATTTACTTAAATATTTAATGTATATATATATATATATATATATATATAGATATATATATATATATATAGATTTATATATATATGTGTGTCCGTGAACACGATAACTTGAGTAATTTTTATCGATTTTGATGAAATTTGGTTTGAAGGTGTAAGGCGGGATAAACTTGAATAAGTTCGCGATCCAGCATGATCGGACCATGGGAACAGGGTTTTATGGGGGGTTTTATGGGGTAAAAATTGGTTTTTCTCACTTTTGACCCTCAAAACACAAAATTTCCCAATTTTTCTCTAAACCTTCTTAAAGAGCTTAAAAAAACAAACAATTCAGTATATCAAAGTGTTTTTGTACGGTTATTGGTTACGGAGAAAACTAAAAAAATTGTAAATTTAAAATTTCCATGTTATTCTTATGGAGAATATTGTAAAATGTTGTAGTTTGCTTGTTTATGGATATCTTTTGATCAAACTTGGCAAATATATTCATTTTATACTAAGCAATAATTATTTTACTTAAAACACACACTTTATTAGTTTCCTTGTAGCAGCAAACCTAGGTACTCGTTAAACCTAATGTTATTTAAATAGATCGATTGAAAATCAATTCAGCCAAATGGAAATTCGCTTAGACGGCAGGTTTGCTGCGGCGGGGGTATTGTACTTTTATCTCTAGTAAGTTATCAACATTTTTTTCTGTATTAATGATATACCGTACCTCTAATAATAAATTCAATTTTCTTGTAGTCAAAAAAATTTAAGCACTTTATTCATGCATTTGTAAGAAGTATTTTTTTTTTAACTTTTCGTAATGATTATTATCTAAATTACAAACATTTAAGTATTTAAAACGCATTTTCTACATAAAAAGGTAATTATTTGTTTAAATTTGCAGCTATATATTAAAATGTATATTTGAAAATATAATGTACCGTAGAAGCCCTATGAGTTTTTAGAGAGTATGAATATTCCGATGTGACAGCGTTGTCCTCTTTTCATGGTCAAAAACATCATTGGCCCAAAAACGTATCCTTGAGGAGCTCCGGTGACAAAAGGTGTGGTGATGCCTCGTCTTACGTATCTAGGTGCTGGCAAAAAGGACTTGTCAAACTATAATCCACCCTTACCAGACTTACTTACTAGGAAAAATCACTATCTCAACCTATTTTGAATGATTGTACTTACTTAAGGTAGGCTAATGCTGGAAACAGGACGTTCGAGAAGGATGGTGCGTTAAAGTTCTCTGTAAAAAAAAAAAAAACGCAATTACCATTTTAAAACTGTGTAGAAAAACTATAATCGTAGTAAACATATATTACAAGGTCGTGTAATACCTACATTGCTCTTGACTTGGGACTTTTAAATAGTTTTGAGCTCCATAAATAAAAGTATAATAGATCGAAAAATTATTGCACGTGCAAATTAAAAACTATAAAGTGTTAAAGTAATACTGTACTGTAAAAGAAATCGCCAGCTTAGATATTTTAATCCACTTAACTTTAAAATTATTTTACAAAGCACTCCCATGTAGAAATTAATTGTATCCTTATGGATTATCAGAACATAATTTTAAGGAACGTTTCTATCCATTATATGCGAAATGTGTTATGATGTTACTATTATCTTTTGTTAAACAAATTATTTTAACCAAATACACCTAGCATTTGTTATAAATATTACTCATCCTCTGACATCATAATGAAAGAATGAATGGTCTATTTTTTAGACCATCAAATGAATCTAACATTTCAAAATTTGCCAAAAAATGAGAAAAAATGTATATACACGACATCACCCCTGACGTTACCGTACATTAAACACATGTCAAAACATGCTACAGATAAGATAAAGTAGGATGAGAAATCTACTTCCAGAATACATCGTCTATGTGATGGTCGAATATTCGTTTGCTAGCAGTAAGCAATTTTAACCACTTAACTTTATTCAATGCCATTGCCAGTGGAATTTTATATGGAGGAATAAAAGTGTTATATGTCAAAATCCTTGATGTTTGGTGGATTTGTAGAAAATCGAACCCACTCGTCCACTTAGTTGGAAACACATCATAACTTACAGAAAACTTCCCATTTACCTAATTTACATCAGCACTATCAATTTACACCTACGTGTGGATATAGGGCGAGTTTTTCTGGGAAATTCTGTCTGTTTATCTTGACCTAGTAAACCAGTAAACAGCCCAATTAGAGACGTGTAAGTGACACTGACACGATACGAGGAATAACAAATTTGTGTATAATTGGCTTATTTACATAAGAGCTATAATCAATGACGTCACAAAGTTGAGTGTCCAGACAATAATACACTTTTTAATATACAACTTTACTTCAAACCAAATCTTCTTGATTTATAATACATATTGTTGTATACACAATGTTTTATACCTATTTATGTGAAGGTTTTAAACGCATATTTATGAGAATGTCTATAAATAATTTAACAAAACATAAATTACATTGAACAGCCACTCACTTTTCCAATTACATGCAACGTCTTCGTTTAAGTAGCCAAAGGTGAAAGGAAACTATTTTTTTTTTTGTAAAGAAAGAAGCGTTTAGAGTTAAATTTAGCATCGATCAAACGTACCCCGTTATGTATTATTGCATTAAATGAAGACACGTAAAATTAGCTTATTTTAAGACTATGTATTTACGAAAGGCTACGGTCTAATTATATTTGTTGCTAAATAATTGTTTTTTCTCATGTTTGACCTATCAGTAAAGCACAAATCACAAATTCTTGGAATAAAAAGTTTTGTTTGTCATAAGCACACTAAGGTTTCTGAACTTGAAAAACGCAATCTCAGGTTTTACTATTGAGGGAAAGTCAATGATTTTTCAAACGTTTACACTGTATACATTAGATTTTCTGTTGATATTTCGACTCTATTAAGTAAGTAGATAACCCGAAAGTACGTTTTTTGCAAGGAGAAACACAACCAAAATAATTATAGTTAAAAATATTTACAACGCTGCCTGTACGTTAACATACCCATATATTAACTGGTTATTTTCTATTGATTCGTTAACAGAAGTTACTATATTTTTATAAGGTCACATAAAAACATTAGGAGTCTCTGACTCTGACGGTGCGATCTTGGGGGCAGAGACGAAAGCAGGTCAATTCAAGGAGAGGGAAAGTTAAACAAGTGACCTACTAGGCAGACCGGTCACATTCTGGCGGGAACATCAACTTGGAGGTTATGTTGTGGATTATCAGCTGGCCTAACAGGTGTGCCAACTTTGAAAAACAAAATATTCTTACGTAGAAGTATACACCGTGTACATTTATTGGATTTTTACTACACTTAATATGAAAGAGTGTGTTCGATTGGATTTGTGTTATGAATTTTGCTTAATTTGATGCATTTGTTCAATCTTGAATAAAAACATACTTAGAGACTCGCTGAGTGCATTGATTATTTACACTATGAACCCAACCTATGAAACATTTGTTGACGCGTCTAGGAAATCCACTCGACAACATGGATTCAAGTCGTGCAAATTGAAATTTTACTTTACGACCTCAAACTTGCCATTTTCAAATGTTTTCTAACTACCAAACTATTCGCATCACCACCACTTCCCAAACCTTATAATAGATTTCAATTCGTACCTAAAACCGAACCCTAAACAACAATTTAAATTCCCAAACACATTATTGACCACCACGGCGGTTCCCTGTACGAAAATGAAGCGTTTTTGATTCTCGGGGCGTTGAAGCCAAAGACTGTTATCAAATTCGACCGAGCCCTCACCGTGGTCGACGCAACCTTGATAACCGGTTCGCCCACTTTTGGTGGGGGGAGGGGGGGATCCAAGCATAGCGTCACCCATCCGTGTCTATGACATCACAGGCCGACGCTCACATCCGAACCAAACAAACAACTCACAGCACTGAGCGTAGCGTGGTTTAGTTCCTTTCTTCGGTTCCTTTGTTAAGGTGAGTGTCCTCAGTTTTCTAGTTTTCCGGCTACATAAAAAGTTTAGAGACTTTAAGAGTCTTCCTTAGTGGAAGCCATGTTGGATTTCTTCCCCATAAGAACAATGTTAACTTTGGGTCCAAATATCTCATCAGCAAATTGTCATATAATTATGGATAAGGAGTTAAATTTAAGGAATTGCGGTCCTCTAGAGATTGACGTTTTTTATTTCACAATTTTTAATTTTTATAATGAATAATTGATTATTAATTATCTTAAAATTAAGCTAACTATTGAAAGGAAATGAAAATGGATTTTCGAAATTCAAAAACCTCAGTCACGAGTCTATTATGTTAAAAATAAAAATTATAAATTTCAAAGCTATATCTTAACAAATAACGCCGTAACGTGTCCACAAATGATGTAATGTTTAACATTGTTCTTATGGGGAAGAAATCCAACATGGCTACCACTAAGGAAGACTCTTAAATGCGATTAGTTTCTCTTACAATCATAGGTTTCGAGGTTTGTGGGTTCCAGATTGGACTTCAAGCATTTGTTTTGTTTTTAAGATGCATATCATCCATCTCCAAACCACACAAGAATGCAAGTGTCAGGGTTGGGAAGAATCACCTGGGGCTGTTTTTTTATCATCATGTAGCATATGTTGTTTGTTTAGTTGATGTTAATCGTTATTCTATGTGTTTCATTATTTTTATGTGAGTTATATTTTACTTTCCCTCGAATGAGATTCAAGACCAAGACTTTTAATGAGATAAAAAGTTTGTTTTATAATTTAGAATGCTATTGGCTCCTTCAAAACGTTTTTATAGACTTTGAACCAAAATGTGAATTAACAAACTGAAATGGCATCACACTTTTGTTGAAGGTTGTGTTCTATTGTGCTATTAAACTTTGTATCTTTATGCGGTTGATAGATTTTACTCAGAATTTGCTTTTATGTTCCAAATCAAATCTAAGACTTCCAATGAGATCACCTAACTAAGCAGCGTTGGTATTAGTTTAAATGATACGATTATCTTACGATATTTTATGCGATCGATTGGTTTAATTGAGAGTTTTATTTTCTGTTAGTATTGATTATCATAGTGTTATTAGACAGACATCCCGTTGTAAACGCTGAAGCCTGTGTCGATGTATTGCATATCCGCAAGCTTGGTTTCGACTTTTTCTCTTGCTTGGTGAGAATTCAGTGGGGACTTAACACTTTGGTTAGTTTGGATTTTGTGAGAGATTTCTCCAAAGTTTAGAAAGTTCTTGAGAGAGCTCTTTCCTTTTTTTACAAGTATGTGGACGATCGGCTCAAGATTATTCCAAAAAACCATCAGTTACAGTTGTAATTGGTGGTGATATTTTGTTATACAAGAGTTCAAGAATTTGTTAGACACATCTTTTAATGTTGTTGAAATGGTTTGAAAATTTATGAAATAACAATAACGTACTCATCAAAATTCTCTCTTTCTATACATGATAAAAACATCCCTGGAAATATTTTTTGTCTTCATCTCATCCATAAGAATCTGACATCTGTTAAGGGTTGGTTACCTTAGGGTTGTGTTTTGTATCACCTGAGCTTATGGATCCTTGTTATACGTTTAAGGGTTTCTACAACATTTACAGTATTTGTTTAAAGCTATCTTTTATTTAATTAAAACCATCAGGTAATGTGTGTTGGCACATCCGACGTATATAGCTTAAAGTATTAAAAGAATACCTATATGTCTGATTAATTCCAAACTATGCATGAAATTTGAACGATAAATATAGAATTATAAACTTGTATATTGTTTTTGTTCTTTCAAAATAAAATTATTGAATTAATCCAAATTTATGTTCGGAAGTGTGTTAAGAGGATCACGGGGATAATTCTTTTAGATTGTTGAAAAATCTGACTTGAAGTTTAGAGCAACATGTTCAGTATTTAAAATACAATCAAATATATTTATGGGAACGAAAAATGAAGTAGAATATTACTTAAGTACTAATACTAGAAATCCAAACGAAAGAAATGAGTCTCAAAGAGAATTATATTTCTGTTAAATAAAAATTGACAGCAAATAAATTCATTTTCACAATATGGGAATAAAAATTCTGTATGTTAATTGGAGAAAATGTAACGTAGGTACGTATGGGTATAGTTTGGTTCTATTGCCCAATTGAGCTTTCTAAATCCTTCCCTCAACAAAAATGTAACTTTCATCGATCTTACCCACCAAAAGGTTTTTAAAAATTTTACATATTTAAAAATCATCATGTATGCCATGTTATGCCAAGGCTCGAATTAGAAAAGCAAAAAGAAATGTTAATCCTTCCACAAACAAGAACCGACAACTTTTGATCCTTGATCTAGTAAAACTCAGCCACGGTCGCAGATAATGTCAAGGGTGTGACCAAAACTGCCTAATTCATCTCCAAGTTAACTGATGATGTCACTAGTGACGTCATCGGCCTTGGTGCCATAGAGGAATGCTGGTGCGGTGGAATGCGATCCTTCATGCTCTATGGTTTATCCTCTATGCTTCACGGCGAATGCGTTACGCGCAACAATGCGGCCATTGGTAATTGGTGGGAGCGTTACCGAGTTCTACCAGTTCTACGAACTAATCTTGTAAATGATTCGATGTGTGATTCATTAGCTGTGATTCAGTTGTTCTAAAATATTGGTCTCATCAGCATAAATGGATGCTTTCTATACGTTGACATACAGTTGCAGGGCTGAAGTAGTTATTTGGGCAAAAAAGGATAATTTGGAGGACGTCAGATGTATATTTACCATTTTTTTTTAAAGTAAACCTCTCATAAATAATTAAACAGCAGTAACAGCCATTTAGCTAAACAATTGGCCTATGTAATTTTTCGTATATTTTAAATTTATTTTTATTATATTGTATTTTAATTGAAATAAAAAGACTGAGGACAATAATTAAGACCACGCGAATCGGTAATACTGCATTATCTGTAAATTTAAAAAAATGTTTTATTACAATTACTTATTTTATTGTTGTTTTAGTTTATTGTTTATTATCGGTAAAATGATTGTAAAATCTACTACTGCTTGTGCTGTCTCCTCTTAAGTCCTACTACAATCTCAAAACAGCTTCCTGATGTTATTGTTTTGTTACAGATAAACAAATAAAATGGCTGTTAGCAGACTGACGATTGTGAAATTCGCCGAATTGGTAAGTGTCCTCGTATTTTGGTTGAATAAAGTGATAATTTGTGATAAAACGTGATATTGCAGTAATTATAATGTGATAACTCATTTTGCCAGAATCATCGCGGACGAGATAGTGGAGAGATGAGAAGTTTGAATCATCAGAGTGATTCAGTATTATGATCAAAAACTGTGAATGTTTAGCAAGTAATAATATACCAAACATACGCTGTTTATTAATTTAGTGAACGCAACAGATCATGCAACTTTTACTAATAAATATAACTTATTTAAATGTTTACATGGTTCTTAAATTAATTCTTACGCATACGTTTTACAATATTATGCATATTTTATGTTTTAGAGCATGTCATGTGAGTCAACGGAAAAATCTCACATTTTAGAAAATAAAATGATTTAGGAGCATGTAACGGAATGAGTTTTTAATCCGCGTTACTTTTGGGAAGAACTCTCTATAAACAGTGTATATGCTACTTCCAGCAAATTAAACGTAATGATCATTTATAACTCTGTATATTTTTTTTATTTTACCCTTAAGTGCAGAACTGATCATTTCCTGAAGCATTTGTATAAACTTTTGGTGGAAATATGTAATAGGCCTACATAATTTATTGCATTATAAGATTGATAAATCATGTAGGTATTTTATGTATCCATACAGTATTGGCATGTTGTAAGTTTCTTTTTTTACGATTCAAACCCTGGTCTTGTTACTATCATGAAACGTCGACCTTTTCTTAGCATCATTAGCCAATGACAAATGCTATCTGAGTCCAGAAAGATCTTGAATCGAACCAGTGACCTTCAGATTTGAAGGCCTGCACTATAATCACATTTGGGAGAGGGAGTAGCTGTGGAGGGGGTGACTAAGGAGTACATACTATCTATTACGTAATGAATGACGTCACAACCAGTTCTGCCCTTTCAACCTGTTTCATGTCATCGCTAAAAATACTCAACTGGTTTCAACTCCAACGTTTTAGTCTATTTCATATTCATTACGAACTATCATTACTCAAAGCTATTAAAAATTTCTACAATGATAAAAAAGTTGACTTCCAATCAAAACATTTTTATCCCAAATATTAAAGGTGAAATGATCAAGAACTAAAAAGTTTGACATGAATAAAAATTAGTTTTTAAAATAAAACAAAAATGTTTATTATGTTTAATAATTTAATTAATTTATTATTTATTTATTTTATCGTATCCATTTATTTAGTTTTATTTATTTGGTTAATTTTAAGAAGAAGAATTCAATTTTTATTGTATGATTCAGAGTAAATTCATCCTTATAATACATACGGTCAAAAATAAAAACAGTAATTTATGCACTAAAATATGTCACATGCAAAAATTGAGGTTGGTGATGTAAAAAATACTTTTGGAAAGGTTGAATGTTTGCAGAAGCAACAATTTATTAATTCGATGAAGAGCCAACGACTTTAAGCCTAAAATTAATTGCTACAGAAACGTAACTTACACACAGCTGTTTGCAATTAACAAAAATATGAGGTTATTCCTCTGCAACTAGGAAATCTGTTGGAACCAATAACAAAAACAATGTAATCTAAAAGCAAATATTTACAAGAGTAAAGTTAAAAGAGTTCAAATTTTCCTTACCAAATGCTCCTAAAGTTTATTTTCGTTTAAGTCTAAAGCCTTGAGTTTTCAAACTTAAGTTTGAATATTGTTTTATATTTTATTGAGCAATTGACAGAAGGACTTTTTAAATGTTACATTCTAACAATGTCTTATAACACATAACGTCATATATATTAAAATTAGATCCAAACAAGAATCAAATTCCCCTTCAACGTAATTTTAGACCGTGATGTTGCCGAAACTGTTGAACTGTGAACTCCGAGCTGAGAAACATCTCTATTTTTACCCACCCTCGCTGATGAAATCCTTTTGGGCTTGAAATTTATTATGACGAACTACAGTACTGCAGACCAATCTGCCGACGGTATTTTTGTTTCATCTTTTGGCCAAACTGGAAATTGGAATAGGCTCCCTACCATTGAACGAAATTGTTTCGTCGAATTCAAGATTGATCTTTAAAATCAGTTTGTTTAAGTATTTATTTTAATGGTAATCATATTATTAATTATTAATTAACTTCCCAATCGCAAAAGGGAAAATTGTACCACACGAAACCATATGAATTCAATAGTTTTAGTGACCTCCACTAATTAAACAAAGGCAGGCAGTATAATAGAAAAAAATACAGACCATTGATGCAATCAATCCAAAACCACAGAATTTATATTCTAACATAATTATTTTTTGCTTTTAATAGAGTTTACACAATTAATTGTCGAATTTATCTTACTGGATGTATTTTAAATTAGGTTTTGTAATTTTTTCAAACATGACGGCATTCCATTAAGTGGGAGAAATGTTCAGATGCAAGAGTGAACACTGGACATCCGCTAGATTGAAAAATGTTTTGACAAATAGTTGAAAATAGATTGAAAAATAGACTTTGAGACTACCAAATGTATCAATATTGTTATATAAGAAGTTTGTAAAAGAAGAACTATTTGGTAACGGAAATTCCATTTGTTAAGTTATAAAATTAACACAGCTATTGTATAAATAATAGTTTGTTGTGTCGTCGTGGTGTAGTTTGTGTATTAATAGGTATGTTAGTAGATTGTTGTAGTCAATATTGTGTTTTAATGGCTAAAGTTTCACCATTACTCTGTTAGTATGATAGCCATTAGACATATTAAATATATTTATCATTAATGTAGAGGTGAAGTATTTAGATTTTTTTTATTGTACTGTAGAAAGTAATATTTTCTAAACTAATTTATAGATAGTATTGGTTAACTAACACACTAGGGTAACCATCCGCATTTACAATTATCATTAACTTATGTAAGATCTCAAACCGCCAAGGTTTGTGAGATATATTGGTTAACTTCCTCTGGAATATCCCATTGCATTTCTTTTGTTGAACTTCTTGGTGGCCGAGCGGAATCTCGGCGGAAATAAAACCCCATCTGTTTCTGGCGATCCCAAAATACAGACAGGAAGTATCCCATCATAAGAGAATTTGGGGACTTAACAGCTGTGAACTCGGGCATGTCTGGTCGGAAATAGGGCTACGCCCTTCTGCCCGTGACAGGGACGGTCTTACTACACTGGCTAGACCAAACCAAGTTCCAAGTCCACTAACACGTCCGAATTGACCGTTGCCACTAGAATCTCACCAGGTGAATTAATACATTCTCAAAAATGGTTGTTTTGTTTTATTGTACAAACCAGAATATATAGAAAATTGCTCCTATCGAGTTTATGAACATGTATTTGAGCCTTTGCCAGCAATGTTTATGTGTTTGTAGGGACCGAGCCAAACTCAGGTCTTTTTACTATCAACCTTTTTTATCGTGCCGAATGGGCCATCAGGAAAAATTATTTAAAGCCCAATGTCACCTGGGCCCAGAACTGTAAGAACTTTGATAAATAGGCCTACTCCAACTCCACCCAATTATAATCAATTCTATTGCAGGAGACACAGTGCTTAAAAACTAAAAGGGGAAATTGATTTAATTTTACTATTCTCTTTACATAATTTTAATCAGCTGATTGTATGCTCTATATTTTAAGTGATAACAAAATTTTAAAATCTCCTAATGTTTTATATTGACAAAATGTTTGATGTTCTTTGTATTTATTTATTGCAATATGTTTTTGTTATTAATTCCAATTATTGTATTTTTGTCTGAATTAAATGGCAAATACAGTCCTTTTTATTTGTAATATAGTCTGACATACTTTTCTACAGTAAGATTACTTGTAGTTTTTAATAAACCAATCCCTATAATAATAATAATATTCATAGAGCCCGAAGGGATTTTTAGATTGGGAAGAAGAGAACCCTAGTTATGGAGGGATTTCGCACAGTGTAAAGGCAATGATATGGACGTTGTTAGTGTGTTAAAAAAACTAAGCATATCATTAAATATAAACATTTATAGTTTACAGTCAATGGTCCAATGGGGCCACTGATAGAATGAGCTTTTTAATTCTGTGATGTTCTTTTTCCTATCCGCAAATCAGGTAAAACTGAAAAGACAACATATTATTGAATATTAACCGTAGGAAGTTATACCCAGAAAATTTTCCTCATAGTATAAAACAAAAATAGATAAAGTAATACAACTTTAATAAAAGGGCAATCAATGAGAGGTTTATTCAATAACTAATTAATTAATAATTAATATCCTTCCTTGCTGACTTAATCTAATATATAAAATTCTCGTGTCACAGTGTTTGTCTGCAAACTCCTCCGGAACGACTTCACCGATCGTTATGAAATTTGGTGTGTAAATTCTGTAGGTATGCGAATCGGACGTAAACTATTTCCCGTTTCGAAATTCTTAAAAGGGCTCCGCCCCAGTGGCTCTGGAGTTTCCCATGTTAACCTTATGAGAAATGGAATTAATGAATCTTAACAGCTGTTTCAATTAAACAAGTTGGTTCTGTTCTATGATGTTCAATAGCATTAAAGTTACAAGGATTACCAACAGGGTGCAGCACTATTATTTCTTTTACATTTATGACAACAGCTAATTTGCAACCAAAAGGTGAGTGAGCGTAGCGAACGAACTTCAACCTGGAGGCGATAAAGCGTAGCGAACGAGCTAACCTGAAGGCAAGTGAGCGCAGCGAACGAGCTCCAACCTAAAGGTGAGTGAGCGTAGCGAACGAGCTCCAACCCAAAGGTGAGTGAGCGTAGCGAACGAACTTCAACCAGGACGTGATTGAGCGATGCGAACGAGATCATCTTGAAAATTAAACGTAACGGTACTTTCTTTCCATCGGTCTGTCTTAGGGGAAACCTATAACTTAGGCGATACGAAGTTCGCCGGGTCAGCTAGTAATACCATATAATACTGGAACATACAGTAAGTAATTTGAAATGTTTATGAACTTGCTAAAAATCTGCATTACCATTTTTCATCAAACAATATCCAACTATCAAACCCTATCCTGCATCTGAAATATCCCGGATTTTCGATTAAAATTTGGCGATCCTCCCATGACATAGGACAGACATCGGGGGAACAATCCTTTCATCCTCCTCATCACAGGAAGTGTCCAGTTGAACAAATTGGGCGAAAGGAAATGTCTTTGTCAGTGGAATTCGTAAACAAAGAGAGAGAATCAGTATTGTAGGCAGTACAGATTTGACAGAGGCTTCAGTCCGAAAATTAGCTTGAGATAAATGTAGCATTCGATCTCGATCTTAGTCTTAAAGTTCAGAGTTTAATACCGGTACTCAAAAAAAATTTACAATGTGTCTGAACTTCTCACAGGGCAATCAGAAATATTCAGGCAAGAAACGAGATGACGTAGGTAAACACAATTCACCTCTTCTAATTCTTGACTCATTCGTCTCTCTAGCTAAAAATAACTTATCAAAGGTGTTGCTGACTTAAGAGAAGTTTTAAATTGATATAACTCACAATGTTTTCAAAACTAAAATGCTTTGACTGATGAAAATGTACCCCCTTATAGCTGAACCCCGACTAGTATGGGTTTAATTTGTTCCTCTTACAAATAAAAGTTGTACGATAATAAACAAGACCAGGGTTTAGACAACTCCTTACAACAAACTGCCAATAACTTAGATAAAACCACCAAACTCCCCAATGTGTATAAAATCAACGCTATCTGAGCTTAAAATCAGGAGTATCCAGCAATTGTGATGTGTGATTCGAAATACAGTATCCACAGAGCTCATCTTTATCTTACTTTAGGCAGGAAAATCAACTTTAAAAATATTAACAACACTCATATTTAGGCAACTAATTTATTTGATTGTATTTAAAAGCATATTTAAGTATTTAAAGAAGAATGTAGGAAAAAATTGGCTATCCTACAGTACATTGCAAACATCATCAACTAACAAAAAAGACCATTCCCAAAATGTGTAAATCATATTCAAATTACCATACTTCCTGATAAACAGCAAGTCACAGACCACTCAGCCTAATATAAATAAATTAATTGACCAGGCTATTTTCAATTCTGTCATTGTGAGTGATGGCCAACCATTTACCTTTTTTACTAACAAATTTCCGTCATTATCTGCTAAGGCACTGGCCAATGCCATTCTGATTATCCACTACTAACTTTTGTTTGTTTTGTTATGTTGGCTGGCATGTATTATTGTATTTTGCTTTGTAGGCATTGAATTAGAGATACAACTGGAGTGGAGGTACAGTACCAAAGCACTGAATGAGAGCATTGAGACTTGAGATATGTTTTGTCCGCTATATGTACTACTAGGGGTAAAATACCTATCAAATCTAGGTATTTGGATGATGAGCGCCGAGACTAGAGGCCGTGGTTTAGGATGTGTAGCAGCTATCCACAGGGACGGTCCTAGAGATTGCGGGCCCAAGGCAAAGTTCAATAGTGGGCTTCTTTTTTTCCTTTTTTTTATTTACGGACAATCCATTTTACACAGAAATATACAAAGCCACTGTTGTGGGCTTGTAATAAAGCCATGAGCCAATGAACTATATTTGATTTGAATTCTCTAGTAGGTAACAACATAACAAAATTGAACCGCATGTTGATTTTCTAGCAGAGTTGGCGTGCCAGTGCTACTTCAAGTTCACAGTGCATGTACTCAATGGTTGTAGGCACTCACAATTACCAACGGATCATACTACCAACGTTTGTTTTTTATGTCACCACTAATGGCATTTGTCTTGTTTTAGGCACTGGCCATCGCCATCTTGATCATCCACTACCAGACTATCGAGGAGCCTGTTCCCTTCAATGCCCTCATCACCACTGGTACATACGCTGGTTTCGCTCTCATCGTGGTAGGAACCTTCCTTGGCTTCATCACTGGCAACTCCATCAACAAGTCTGTGGTGAGTACCTCTACCATAAACTTACTTATGCTTTCTCCCTTGAAGGGTGGAAACATAGTGGAGCAGTGAGGCTAGTCTAGCGGAGAGCTTTTTTGCCCCCAATAGTAGCAGGAGCGACACTTCTAAAACACATTGACATATTAGAGCGGCAACAATAGAGAGTCAAGAGGCTCAACTACAGTTATTGCATTGGCCATTCATTGCACAACTGCTTAAACCTATTTAAAATAATAAAAAATGCATAACATTTCTTGAAACTTCTAATTTTAGTATTTGTTTTAGTACTTAGTACTTCTGTTTTGAGTAGTAGAATAAGTACATTGTACCCAGCCGGGTATCCGGATTTGTTTAATTAATGGTCAGTTTAACTACCTGATGTGGTAAGCATTTCAACTTAATGAATACAATACAAGTAGGCTTAATTTAATTTAGAACATAAGTCATGATAAATTATATTCACTCGGTAATTATATTATCCTACACCCTCCTGGTTCAATTAGGCTAAAATATGATACATATAAACTGTACAATGTCTTATACTCCATACACAGCCCTACTCCGTTTTAGGGGAAGAAATCTATACCCTCCACTTGGTCCCAGGTAAGAAAAAACATTGGTCAGGGAACTTCCTCTCAAACCGCCTAAATTTTGTGAACGGAGTATGATTCTGTTTACAGTAATCATCTGTACTGTACAAACGTAAATATAAAAACCTATATTTTCCAGGACCTGTTTTTCTGTGTTGCTGGAGCCATCTTGTACCTCCTGTCTGCGTGGTTCACTTACAACCACTTCTCCGGATGGAAGTTCAACACCAGCCATGCCAACCTGGGTATAACCAAGTCGGTGCTTGCTCTGGTCCAGGGAATCGTCTTCATTGTTGACGCTTTCTTCACATTCAAGGTTGAATAAGAAAACAACCCTAAGCCATCAAAACTGTTTACGTTATTGGGCAAAGCCTGTGGAAATCATATTTCATATCAAGACTCAAGAAATCGCCATAAAATTGAAAAGTTTTAAGAATGTAAAGGTTGTTAAACTCTAAACTCTACTCTTTCAGAGAATGTAATGAGTTTTGTACGTTAGGTAAATTTTTCATCCTGATTCACAGGTGCTGTTAATAAGCGAATTTGGAAATCATATTTTTAGAATCATTTAATCATGGGGTCGATTCTGTCCTATTTAGAGTGTTAAATGTGAATCTCAAAATTAAAGATCATCTAAGACTCCAACAAAAACATCATTTCATTTCTACTTAATTATTACTCTTAAGTTATTTTGTACTGTAGTTTATAGGTTATGTAATTTTAATTTCTAACATTTCATAGTACATGATGAAAAGTGTTCACTCCCATTAATTCATAGTCTTTTATTTATTTTGTGAAGTAGTTCTTTAGTTATCCTTACAAAAGTGCAAATGATATACCAATGAATTCATCCAGTGAACTTTCTGCCAATTTTATCCATTGTTGTCAGTGTAAAGTATATATTTTTAACAATAAAGTTTATATTTTCAGTATTGTGGACAATCTTTTCATAAGCACCACCAAAATATTTTTAAAATTCAAAATAATTCTTCATCAGCAGATGAAAGAAAAGAATTTATTTATAAAAATAAACACGTCTGGCTTAAAAAATAAGGTTGCCAATGACACAGAAAAAATATACACTTAAGGCTAGGATTATACTAGAACGCTGGCATCCGGGACTCTAGCGGGGCATTAAATCAAATGGGGGCGATTAGACTAGGGATGCTGGGACTAGGGACGCTGAAATTCGAGCGTACGGCTACTTTTTGCTTCCCGGGATGCACAAAATCGGTTGTTCATCGGCGCATTATAATAGGCGGATAGCATCCGAGACGCTCTCTTTCAACATGTGCGCGAATATAGGGAATACGCTATTACCATAGGTCCAGGTAAGACCTGGACCCGGTCCGATCTACTTTTTCGATTTGACGTACCCAGAGGCCAAAAACACCATCCGTTCATGTAGATTTAAAAAGTTGTAAACGCGATAACATGGGTAATTTTTCTAAAAGTACACATCGAAAACAGGAGAATCGATTAAGTCAGAAAAATCATTTTTAAGGTTAGTTTACTTTTGCAGTAGGCCTAAGTTTCAGGAGTATAGCTTCTGACAAACGAAAACAACTTAAAATTTATGTGTGAACTGATTGGTGTGGCCTGCATGTGTTATTATAATAATTGGGACTTTCAAATTACGCTTTGCGAGTGTGCCCATGCACAAATTGCGCATCAGGGTTCAAAACCTAAGTCCAGAGAACAAAACATAATGCAATATCCTTTTATTTGTCAAAGATCTAGATCTACACCATAAAGACCGAAGATTTATATAGAGTTGCAGTTGATCAATGAGGTTGCAGTTTCCAAAAAAGGTAGTATACTTACTACTTACTTACTCCTGTGGCCACACAAATCCCAAGTGATTTTTGGCCTCGCCAACAATGCTCCTCCACTGCTGCCTATCTTCTGCTGCCTCCAAACTTGCTCCTAACCTCCTGAGGTCCTGCCTCACTTGGTCATTCCATCTTAATCTGGGCCGTCCCAGCGGCCGTCGTCCTTCTGGTTGCCCCATCCATACCTTCTTAATCATACTGTTATCATCTCTTCTATATACATGTCCCAGCCATCGTAATCTTCTGCTCTTTACCATTGCTATGATATCTGGGTCATTATAAAGTTCTCTTAATTCTTGGTTCTTCCTTATCCGCCATTCACCATTGTCATTAATAGGACCAAACACTCTACGTAAGATTTTATTTTCAAAAACTATCAATTTCTTTTCATTTTGCTTTGTAAGTGTCCAGACTTCTGCTCCATATAGTAGAACTGGTTGTATTATAACCATAAAAAGGTAGTATACTGTATTTAAAATCCACTGTCATCAACTGTCTTTGCCTATCTCTCGTTTACAATCTAAATCAGTTTTAAACATTTAACGGAAAGGATCAGCTTCAACAACATATTACAGTTCAAATGTAAACCGTTATAAAGAAAGTTAGTCATAAATATTGGCTTTGAAAGGGAACTCCAAAAAATAACTGAAACCTTAGGGGGACCCTTTGAAAATATCATTTTCGTTACCAGTCGCAGGTGTACTGGATAATAAGCTTCAAAAGACACCTCAATTAACGAATTTCCCATATAGAGAATAAGCTATTACCGTAGTACTCATGGTAAGACCTGGACGCGGGACCGATTTTTTTTTTCGTTTTGAGGTCCCTAGAGGCCAAAAACACCATCCGTTCAAATTCATATATATATATATATATAGCCTATATATTTATATATATATATATGTGTGTGTGTCCGTTAGCACGATAACTCGAGCAAAAATTATCCGATTTTGATGAAATTTGGTACAAACGTGTAAACCTACGTTTATTTGAACGAGTTCGCGATCCAGCATGATCAGACCATGGGAACGGGGCATTTACGGGGGTTTTATGGGGTAAAAGTAGGTTTTTCCCATTTTTGACCTAAAAAACATAAAATTTAGCAATTTCTTTCCAAACCATTTTGTAGAACTTAAAAAACAAATAATTTAGTATATTGAAGCGTTATTATGCGCCTAATGGTTACGGAGAAAATTCAAAAAAATTGTAAATTTAAAATTCCTATGTTATTCTTATAGAAATATTGTTAACTGTTGGAATTTGCTTGTGTATGATATATATTGATCAAACTTGGCCAATTTGTTTTAAACTAAGCTATTAATATTTTACTAAAACACTTTATTAGCCTCCTTAAAACAGCAAACCTGGGTACTTGTTATACCTAATGTTAGTTAAATAGATATAAACAAAAAGTGACAAAACATTGAAATAAAATGGCAGTCTGAGAGGCTAGCATCCCAACACAAACCACCATCACAAGGCACGACGCTAGCCTCTCGGACGCCAGCGTCCTAGTATAATCCTAGCCTAAAATATTTAAGGATCTATTATACTAATTCCGTAAGGAATTTCTTGTGCACAGCAAAACTCTTTTATTTATTAACCGATTTTGATGATTGATGTGTCAAATTAAAGGGAATTATCTGTAAAAGTCATGGAATAATTTTTGTCACGCTCAGTTCAATGTGCTTCGCCCCATTGGACGGAAAGGTGATTGTTTTGGGAGGTGATTTTACGGCAATGTGCTCCCATAGTCTCTGGTGCGAGTTGCTGTGTAATAGTAGAAAATTCAATAATTAGACCACCTTTATGACCAATGTTTAAAAATATTTTACTTGCAAAAAACATGAGAGCCAATCTAAGTGAATCAATATTTGTTAAATATCTTTTATGAATAGATAATGGCCAAGAGAGCTACCATAATGATCTTGGTGTCTTGGTAAGTCTCCGGTGCTTGGTGGTATCTTTGGTGAGGCTACATCTTCCGCCCCAATGTATTGTGAATTAAAATATTATTGACAAAATCTTCAGTTAAGGATTCTCTGAAGGTGCTTTAAAAAGGACAAAAAATCATGCAATACTTTCACCAAAGAATGAACTTTGAGACGAAATAAATAATAAAATAGTTGAGCAACTAAATGATGACAGCCGGGTTTACTACTCAGTGGACACTTTGATTTAAGAAGAGGGAGACCAGTTACATGTGCCTGGTGAATTTCTTCACACTTTAGCACCAAGTGGTTTACCTCCTCATAAGTTATGCCAAAAAAAATTGTAATTGTAATTTTACTTAGAAATTTAAATCCACCGTAAGGACTGATTTAAAAAACCATATTAAAGGTGAAAGAGATTAATGATTAAGTCCTAAGTCTTGAAATTATTACTGGAAGTTCAGCTGGAAAACGAGTGTTACTGTCCCAATTGAGCTTAGAACCATCAGAAAGAAATTTTCCTCTAAAATTCAAACGTCGACAATTCCCATGTCGAATCGCTTTTTCCATGACTATTACAAAATTCAAGGAGAGACAATCTTGGTCTTTACCTGCCAGAGCCCTGCTTTAGGGAAATGTACTGAAATGTAAAAAAACATAGGGAATTGTACGTAGCAATGTCAAGATGCCGCGCTTTTCGATGACGTAAAAATAATGGTTAAAGAACAACGTAACCAAGGTAATCTGGCTAAAGACGTTCGAGTGTTTACAAGAAACATAGTATGGGAAGAACTTCTTTTTAACATTTTAAAAGTAATATGAACATTTTAACTGGTCTGTCAGTCAGTATTCTAAACATTCTCTATTATAGAACCTTTATTAAAACAGTATTAAGCTTAAGATTTTTATTTATGGTTAATTAAAAGTTAAGCTCTTAAAAGTTCTTCCTTTTTTTCTTATTGATAAGTTAAAAGGTTATTAAAATGTTTTAACGATATGTAAATTAATTTAAATTAATATTAACGATATAGTAAATATTATTAACTGGAAACAAGAGACTGATTAATTTTGATGTTTGCCATATAAATGATTTCTCATTATAGTCAATGAACCTCTTAATGTTTCATGAATAATAATTTTCAAAAAGGATCTGTCCAAATCATATTGTTTTCAAAAGTTCACAAACATTTTGATAATGTTCCTCTAGAACCAATAAACAATCCAATCACCTCCATTTTTTAAATTTTGCTTAAAATATTCAAAGGTACATTCATATTTTTTTTTCTTCTCATTTACTTCATTAGGTGGATTTAGATATATTTCAAATCAAATTTTTGGATCGAGAATTATCCCTTTGTTTGTTTCTCTTTCGATCAATAAAATATCTACTCTTCTGGTGCATCCGTTAGAAGACAGTGTACTTCTTCATGCACTTCCCATGTATTATACCTTTTTCGGAAGGCTTTTACTATAATACTTCTTATTTTGTGGTGCCTAGTGTTTCTTAGAAGTTCACCAAACGGACAGAAGCCAAGGGCATGTGCAAGGGTTTCAATCTCACCACAGGCATGCCTGCAGTGGTTATTGCCCTGACATCTGGTGTGGAGGACACGCACTAATGGGACCACATTTGCAATAATTTTTATACTGTCTTTCCACTCAGATTCTGACAAGCCTTCTTCATTAATAATACTTTTATTTCCAGGAGTATAATCCTTAAAAAGTTCAACACCTTTACCCTTCTGTTTTAGGCTTTTCCAGTTGGTTTTTAATATGCCCTAACATTTTTAATATTTTTTTTAAACTAACAATTGCTAAATTTCCATCAATTAAAAATTGTTGTATTCATAAATTAAATTCCAATTAAGGCATCAATCGATTAAATTTTGCTCATATTTCTATTCACAAATAGAAATTTATTATACTTTATAATAGTTTATAATAATATTATTATTATACAAATTAATTTATGAATACGATTTTTTATTGATGGAAATTTAGCAATTGTTAGTTTTACAAAAGTTATTAAAAATGTTAGGGAATTTTTAAAACCACCTTAGCCGCATGCAGCAAACATAGGCTAACTTTAGTTGCCATGAGAAGACCACATGGTCCTTGTTTTATTTCCGGTAGGGAGCCTCAAATCACCATCTAGCCGAGGGCCTCCAG